TCCTCCTCCTCCTCCTTCCTGACCCAGCAGCAGGGCGTCCTCGTCGCACTGCATGGACGCGTGGGGTCTGATCTCGGTCACTAGCCCCAGCCGCATGAGCAGGTGCTCCAGCTCGGTGTACGACCCTTCCGGGTGCACGATGACATCGTTCAGCTCACTGAGGGAGGACGGCCACGATAACGATGTTCACGTTCATGATCAGGACATGGTGGTTCATGTTCATGTTCATGATCATGATGACATCATGATGCTCATATTCAGGATCAGGTGATGATGTTCATGCTGACGATCATGATGGTGCAAGAGATTTCCGAGGCATTTGACGGAGGAAGAGACCGGGGGTGCCGTTGGAGGGGTTGCGTGTGTGTGGTGTAGGATGAAAATAATCATATAGAGTGAGTCGTCCTTTCAATAAATGGGACCTGCAAACAACACCCAACTGACACATGAAACACGGAAAAGAGCGAAATGGGCGGGGAGTAGTGTACGGGTACGGTGAGAAGCGTGAGGTACACAGCATCTCGACTGCCAGGGTACGGTGAAACTTACAGGAGAAACGGATCTCATCGCGGATCCCATTGCGTATGTAAGAAGAATATGCACACACGAGACATCATTTTCGCACAGCGTCCGAGTGCAGACAACGACGTATATAGGTCAACATCGATCGCGAACTACAACCAAGAAGGCCGGTTTGGACTGCCGCCGCATTTGCTTGCTCGGCCGTGGAAACGGCGGTCGAGTTCAGCAAACATCCAGCCTTGGGATGCGACGGAAGCCACTTCCAAGCAAGAGCAGATGCGGTATCATACCTCTCTCCAAGATCAAACAAAAAGCTCAAAAGCACAACAACAGAAAGGTAGAGTACACGTTCAACACATATTCTTCGACTGTGGGTATGAACCAGTGGTATTGAAGTGACTGTACAGTATACATGCTCCCAAAAAACAAGATGGCAACGGAAAAATGAAACGAATAGTCACTGGCAGAAATGCTCTTACAACAGTGGAATCTGACTCGAAAGCGAAAAAAAAAAAAAGCACCTCCCGAGGTCGAGACGCCCCCAGGTCTCGAGGGCCGTCCTGATCCCCTGCAACACCCCCTTCATGCCTCGAACGCTGGACCACTTGGACAGCTGCAGTATCTCGAGGCTAGTGATGCGGCCCATCATGAAGCCCTGGAATCGCGGTCGCACCTGTTGTCGGATCGTTCGTTTGCACGCAGGCGTTATGATTTGTTTGCGCCTGTTATCTTTCGTTCGTTCCAAGGAGGTTTTCACGGTATGGTCTAACTTATTGCTGTTCGTTCGTTTCAAGCATGTCGCACCTGTTGTCCATTCGGTTCACGGAGCCTTATGCCGCACTTGATGTTTTTCCATGTCGACCTGTTGTTGTTCGTTCGTTTCACGTAGGCGCTATGGCTTGACCAGCGGGGTTGCTCGTGGCTCGTACGGGGGGGAGTACGTACGGAAGGGGAGCAAGCAGCACCTCGCGGTGATGATGGGCAAAACAACAACAACAAAACAACAACAACGACGACGACGACGGCGACAGTACCACAAGGACTCACCAGCTTAACCAGGGGAGGGTAGAAGGGGTACAGGTCCATGGTAAACGTCAGCTCCATCTCCACGTAGCCGTAAGCGTACGTCTGCCGCAACTTCTCCAAGTCCTCGCGCAAAGGGCTCGCGTCGCTAACCCGATTGATCTTAACCTGAGTGCAGCCGCAACCAACGTTTAACGTTGACGGCAACGGTACCCACAATAAGCGGTTACAACAGCGCCACCGGCAGAAACCGCAGTGACGCAACTCGCATTGCCGCAAAGAAATGCCTTCATACAACGCCACGGGCACGCGATCGGGAAGACTGGAAATACCACAGCCTCTACAGCTCACTCTACTACTGCTGCTGCTGCTGCTGCTGCTGCTGTGCTGGACGTTGTTTCTCGCCACGGTGTAACGATATAAAATCTTCCGCGAAGCATTCCGCTAGGGATTCGCTGTTAGAGGGCCCCGTGGACTCTGGGTCACTCTTTGTAAGTCTTAACTCTTCGTGAGTGCTAGGACGCACGGTGGGTTAAATGTACAACCAAGTTCTGAAATGCTTGCATTTGCACCATGTCTTGGAGGGCTGGTTGGTAAAACACGGGACCTCGATTGCTTGCCCCATGAAGAGCGCGCAAGAGCAGCAGGTAGGTCACAAACGTTATGTATCCAATGTGGGCACAATGACAACAACAACAACAACAACAACAACAACAACAGCAGCAGCAGCAGCAGCAACAACAACAACAACAACATCAACACCAACACAGCAGGCGTAAAATACGCACCTTCCAGTGGAAAATGTTGTCGTCGACGGCCTCTACCTCCATGCCCAGCTCTTGCTCCAACCGCTGTATGTCTAGTAGGTCTTGGGTAAGCACCGCAGACGAAGCCTCGGACGTGAAAATGTTCTCCACCTTCACGGAGTCGTTCAAAGATCGTCAAAACTAGTATGGTACCCCACTTCATACTTTGACATGAAAATGTTCTCCACCTTGACAGAGTCATTCGAAGATTTTCAAAACTACCACAAGGATGATACAATATCACACATACAATCCTTTTTTGCTTTTTTTCATGATTAAAATCAGTGCTCACGCCACACAGCATTCCTGCCGTGAAGGAGCTGCCTCCAATCCGTGGTCCCACAGAAGGGTTGTAGGGTTCCTCTCCCTCCACCCCTCCCGTCGTGCTTGCTTGCTTTCCACTATTTTTCTTCAACGTGATACGTTCTCCACCTTGACGAGAGACGTTCGCAGATAGTCAAAACCAATAATCCACAATTTACAAATATACAAGAGAGCGGCCGCTTTTTCGCGAAGGTAGATTCGTGGTACTTACTGCCTGCAAAACAGGTGGGAATACAAAAAAAAAAAGCAAGTAGGCGTTTCCTGAGTCGCGTAAGAAATAGATCTGCGCATCTACCCGGAGCCCTTGACGCCTGCAAAACAGGGCACTGTACGACCGAATTTGACGATCCTGTTGACCCGTTTCTTTCCGCCTTTCATCACCACCGCCCGCCCTTGTTCCCGCTTTCGCTGCACGAGCTTTGGAATCGGTCTACCAAGGTGGCGTGGTGGCCTATCCAACCCTACGGCAACAACCCTAAACTGACACCAAGAAGCTCGACTTCTTAGGGGTCCTCCTCCCGACCACACATAGCGCCCGCACTTCAGGAGACCTTGGCAGCGAAGGAAAGAAGATTTTGATGCTCGACATGGGCCGCCTTCGTGGTTTATTAAATTAATGGGGACAGAAGAATAGGGAAGGGGATGTACTGTACCATACGCAAACCCTATCATCCCAAACCCTAACCCAACTTCCCCGATTGCACACTTTATCGAACGCGTTTAAATAACCGAAAAAACCTGCCAGGCTACTGACATTGTATCAAAACGCAAGAACTTGAGCACCATTTTTGAGCCCAATTAAGACCCCCTACGCGAAACCTTCAATGGTGGAACCTTCAATGTGGTGGCCATTTGCAGCCCGCAAGGGGAACTACTGCGAGAAGAGAAACCTCAGCAGAAACTAGAGGCTCTGAAGTGCGGGCGCAGTCTGTAGCTTGACTACAAAATAAGCCCTTCTTCCTCACCTTCTTGGGCTTGACTCCCTTCTTGTCGGCGTTTTCCTTGGCCTGCCTCTCCTTGTTGGCCGCCATCGCCTCTCGCAGCGCCTTCTCCTTGCTCTGGTCATGTGGTCAACGACGGAAGCGTTGTGATTGGTTCCCAGAGGGGGGGGCGGCGGCATACTCATAGTCGTGCATGCCGTAGTCGTTAGACTAATGACCTCGCATGGTGCCCAGAGGGAGGTCAATAACTGTCTAAATTTCTCACACGGTCATCAACAGAAATTGGTACCTATTAGGAGAGCCCTCATCTACCGTAGCTGAAACAAGACAGTATATCACACCCTCTTCTGGATCGGTTCTCGCAGCTCCATTACTTCGCGATGAAGAGGATGCACACCTCAAACGATTTCGAAAAGCTCTTGACGAGACGGTTACGACGCCGGCATGTTCGGCTCCACCTCTCTTGCCGGTGTGGAAGGACTCAGCTTTGAAATTCAGCGTAGGGGGCGTGGCGTGAAAGACGCGTAGCACACACAAAACTACACAACAGCAGTCCTGTTACAAAAAGTGACCGCACTTTGCGCATCCGCATAAATGCAGGGAGTGATATGTAAAGAAGCGGAGCACACACGAACTACAACAGTAATCCTCCCAAACAAAAAATGGCCGCATATTTGTTGCGCATCCGCAAGCACACGGGACCTGCCAGTTCCGTTTCTTGTAGTGCTCGTCGAGCCAGGTCGATCCCGTCTGCGCAGCCTCTGCCCCCCCCCCTCCTCCCCCCACCTCGTCTTCGTCGTCATCTTCGTAACTGGCGACAATCGCACACGAACAGTAGGACAGATCAGATCCCCCACAGGTCGAGCTACATGTAGGGTGTGTCCCTTGTGATCGGTAGGCCATACAACAGGTGAGCCATGTAGCTCATCATCTGCCCTGCGTGTGAATTGCTCAGACTCCAGCAAAACGAGCTATGATAGCTCTTTCGAAGGGTGTGTCCCCTGTGATCGGTAGGCCATAGGTGAGCTAGCTCATGATCAGCCTTACGTGTGAAAGCAACCAGTTGAGCGCCGAAAACAGGTCTGCACTTGCGTTTGTGCCCTGACAAACGACAAGTTGGATGATGGGCGGGGAGAGACTTACTCCCCTTCCCCGCCCTATTTACCGCCCAACGCCCTCTCCACCAGAAACACCACACCTAAGTACCCTGTACCGTGCTGCAATCCACGTGGGTGTTCACATCCTCGCACTCCTGCCCACCGCCGCCCCATCTAGAAAGAGACCCAGCGCACTCGCACGTACTCGGGATTTTTGGGCAACAGTCCCGCGCCCCCGTCCTGGCTCATCCTAAGAAAGCCCGGTGTATCGCTCCATCCCGACATTGTAGGATTGCGAAGTCAACAGTCTAGCGGCCACGGCATGCACGACAATGAGTACAGCCCCCCACCCGCCCCGCCTGTAATCAACGAGTTCATGAAATTTGGGAGGAAGGGGATGATCCAGCTGATGGTACTGCTATACATTTGGGTGTGGAAAAACGAGTACACGCAGAGTAGATGGAGGGAAGGAG